GAAGGTAGTAGGATCTGTGAAAAAATCAGTACGAGAGACACTGTGCGTTAAGGCAAATGAAGGAAAGAATGAGAAAAGAGAGCACCGATATCAAGGAGAAAGAGATGTTACTACGGTGCATGCGCACTGTTCATGGGCGTGAGCTGATCTGATTTCTAAGCTCTCGTGGAATGTGCCTTTACGATGCTAGCCAAAACGCTATGGCATCGTTCAGAGTTGGCGATCCTACATGCGATTAGACGATTCGCGATTAGTCTATAAGGAGGGGATACGTATCGATTAGGCGAGAGGCGGGTAGGCGAATTGGCGATCGCTCAATGGGCGGAGCAACAAATCAATTGTTTCGTCCGTTCTCCCCTACTCGCCTACTCGCGAATCGCCTAATCGATACTTACATTTCCTTTCAAATAATCGCCTAATCGCCTAATCGCATGCACGATTGCCAACTCTGAACGCTGCCTATGCAATCTATAAGTGTGGTTCGTACACAATCTGTTCATTTTGTTTCATCTGGTTTATCCCATCACTCAATCCTCCATCACCTCGTTTAACAATATGTAACACGTACCGTAATTCTCTACCGAAATCAGGATACGTCCCAAATTTCGGTGCTAGAACGCTAAACAATAATGCCGCCACGAAACAGCCGAACGCGGGTCGGATAGATTGGACGGCCAAGTGAGTTCACCCATTGCGACGTTCATTTTTCGCCAACGTTTCACATGTTTCAGATATGTCCGAAATTGATGATCCCACGCAATCTCTTACAATCGCTCATATCTAACGTGTACTTGAATGGCGGAACTGGCGTCACTCAAGAAATCTTCACCTTAATGCATTCTGAATGAAGTTGACTACAGTAGTGCCTTCCGAATTTTCCCTCACAAATCAAAAATACGGTGATATTCAAGCTTGATTGAAGCAACAATCATCTTGCCAATCGTATACGGATAATTTGCCATGTTGAAGAAGGCTAGAAGATCCGTAAAGATCTCGTACGGCACCATTAGGTACTTCTGTACAGTGATTCACACTGACATCTATCTATCACTCATCACACTTAAAGAACGAGTGTCGAGTCTCGAGACCCACTAAAAAGTCTTTTGTGGATAGAGGTGCTCGTACGCCATTGCAAAGGATAGCTCCACTTTCTACATCACGCGTCACTGAGGCTAGACCCAGTCTTTCAAGCAGACTCCCTTCTCAACACCCATCTCTCATCTTTCGTCCCCTTCTGCTGCCTTTCAACTACTTTTGCGCACGTAGAGCAATAATCGTAGATCAAGTGCTTAACAATTTTCTTTCCTTTTTTTTCTCTACTGGCAGTCCACCTTCCATCTCTACTTTCACATTTGACTGAAATTACATTAACCTGATTCCTGCCTTTAAATCTCAGTTGACCACAAACAAAAGGTGCTAGCAGCTCCTCCCAAGTGATAGGAGAGCCTTCCTCACACAGAGGATTTCAAGCATTCCTTCCA